ATGGTCTATGTAGGGATGCCAGTCCCCAGATGGAGGCAGGGGAATTCCCTAATTTTGTGGGCTCCTGCCCACCACTGGCCAACTGGCTGGTGGGGGAAGCCCCATCCCCAAGAGCAACCACTGGCAGCCACTCCCTCTTCCTCCCGTCCTGTGAGATTTAAAGGGCCGTCCGGCTGATCGGCATGAGCACATGGCTTACTGATCAGCTGGAGGGCTTTTTAAATCTTGCAGGAGGGAGGGAGAGGGGCAGCCGCACTCCTGAACTCTAAGCGGTGAATTCATCACTGGAGTTCAGGCGCACACACACACACACCACTTCTTGAAAACAGCATTTAAAATCCCTTTAAATGCTGTTTGCAAAAAGTGGGGTGGCATATGCCAGTAGCAAATTTGCCACTTGGAGGTCAAGCACGCGTGGTCCCCCGCTTCTTGTAAGGGTCCCCTTAAATGCTGTTTGCAAGAAGTGGGGGGGGGGTGTGCCTGAACTCCAGCAGCCAATTCACCGCTTGGAGTTCAGGCATGCAGGGCGCTAGTCCCCAGCATAATGATGTCACTTCTGTGTGATGTCACTGCATTGAGGACATCCCTGCCCCCTCTAGCAATGCCCTCCTAAAGTCCCCCGCTGGCAAAGAAGGAGGACCTGGCAACTCTAGGTCTATGGCCTGCAGTGCCTTGGTTTCCCCGCCCCCACCAAATAAAGCTTTTTTCCTTTCTTTTCTGGCTCCAAGACTTGCACTTTTTTGGAGGGGCTGATCCATTTAGAAGATGATGCTTAGAATCTATTGTGTTGCTGAAAGCAAACAATAAAGAAGTTATTTCTGGACGAGGTGGAAGCAAGGAGAACAATATAAGCCACTTTGAGTCCACTTTGGGAAGAAAGATGTGTTGTAAATGAAGTAAATAAATATTTCTAAAGACCACTGTTGTGTTCTTTACCATAAATCTTCATTACTATGAACCCGATGCACTGGTGGTATGGTTCAGAGGACTAGCTGGACTATAAAGATAGTTCTTCAATACTATTATTATTTCATATGTCGGACTGTATAATTTGTGAACTTGTATCATGGAGTCTCTCTCTGTGTCATTCTATTGAAACATTTATCCCATTTGTCTGAACTTGTCTTTTTAGCCATATGAATAAAGACAATCATATTGTACTATATTGGGTAGAGCACATGCTTAGCATGCAGGTCTCATGGTCAGTCCCACACATCTTCAGTTAAGAAATCTTAGCAGTCAATGTGAAAGTCCTTTCTTAAGGATGTGGGCACACCGGGGCGACACTCTGGTTTTTTGGGCAAAACTCTATGGTTTGAGGGTGATTTTACCATAGAGTTTCACCCAAAACCAGAGTGCCACTCCCAATGTGCTTTTGTCACTTCCAGGTGACATAGGCACTGTGCACAGCATCACTTTTGGTGATGTCAGCACATCGGGGGCAACACTTCCGGCTCCCGGAATATAAAGTATTGAGACTGATGCATGTCGTGGTGATTTCAGCTCATACTTTATTAGTTAAATGGAGAACTTGCAGGACCCACGACCCACTTATATTCCCGTTCAAACCTCACCAAACACACACACACATTCCCGTGATAGGCTATATACAATACTACTTTCCCTCATTGGTTCCCTTTAGGATCCGGACTGGCCGATTGGTGAGTTCTAGGATTCTCTGCTTCTATTGTTGTTGGATGCGAAGCTCAGCTTGTCCACCTGGCCACGTGTGAGCTTGACCGCGTGTACAGTTTCACTTGGTACACAACACGGAACATCCCCCCCATCCCTGCCACTTGACCTGGCAACCCTACCTTTTGTGCATGCACGTTATCACACAACCCAACTGAGTTCTACTCAGGCCAGGCGTCAAAACAGAGCTTACTCTGTCAGTTGCTAACCAATGAGAGATGCCACGGAGCCCACTCCCAATTGCAGCTTCTGCCAATGAGAGAGGGAGTCTCCCTGCCTCCCTCTTTGGATTAGCCAGTGAGGGAAGGTGTCTCCCTTCCTCCCACCCCTTTTTTCCCTTTGCAATTTGCTTGGTGCACAAAGCTCCTGCAGGCTTTGAAGCACGTGGCCCAGTCCTTTGCGCATTAGCTTGCTAGCTCATGCCAGGCAGCCATTGATTCCCCTCAGCAGCATATAAGATAGGAGCTGGGGGGGGGCTTTATTTTTGCTGGGGAGGTTCAAAGGTGGTTGGAAGACAGAGGGGGTGGAAAGATGGCTGGAAACAGCTTTTGGTAATGAGAGAAGGAATCTCCCTCCCCCTCCTCCCTCCCCAGCTTTCCCTTTGCAGTTTCCTTGATACACAAAGCAGTTGCTCTTATGGGCTGTGAAGCACATGGCCCAGTCCTTTTCATGCCTTAGCCCATCTGCTTAGCCCATCATAAGCAGCACATAAAGTAGGAGGGGTCTGGGGCCTTTTTGCCATGGGAGGAGTATTTGAAGGTGGTTGGAAATAGGGAGTGGATGGGCAGCAGCAGCAGCCTCTGCATTCTGTCATTCACAAGAGCAGTTGTGATTTTGAAAGTTCTCCGGGCCCACCTGGAGACTGGCAACCCTACTGTATTCCAACCTGAGTGCCTGCAGCTAGCCTTGAGTCCTCCTATAGCAAGTTAAATGGAGCCAAACCAGAGCAGGGCTTTGGGCGTTCAGGAGGTGACGGGGTGACTTCAGTGGAGGACGGTGTGAATCAAAGGGGCCATCCATCCAAGGAAATATACACTCTTCTGTGATCAATGCCTACTATTGGGGGGGGGATCTTCATGCACTTACATGACTCTGCAGACACATGCGCGCGCACACACAAATCCAAAAATATATATACTTTTACCTACATGCATTATATTGCTGCCATGGGCAAGGTGGGCCAGCTGATGGAGTTAGAGCCCAATTGGTCTGTCCCCATCTCTGCCTATAATGGTCAGCACCATGCTGGCATGTACAGTCTGTATAGTAAAGACCAGGAATTGGCATACCTCTGCCTATACCTTTGATAGTGGAAAGCTGACACAGACCTGAGGTGGCTTGGGGCTACTTGGTGAAGCTCCAAGATATACCCCTAAGAAAACTGACATTGTCTGACATATTGTACTTCTTGGGGTTAACAGAGCCTGAGATTACATTCTGACATCATTTTTAATTGCAGGACTTTGCTGAAATCCTGATGAAAGTGATTCTTAAACTAAAATTCAAAAGCTAGCTGGGATTTTGTTAGTTCAATTAAATTGGGCCCTTTTCTATTGCTTCTGTTTGATTCTTTTTCTAATGAATTGACATGATCTATGAGATCTAATTTTTCCATTGTCAGTGTAAACCAAACCGTATACAATCCCATTCTTCTCCATGTCATAGCAAAATACTATTCTACCCAGTAATTGTCAGCCTTTGGACTGGTTTACCTACAGCAGGTGCTATACTGGGATGGGAAAGTGATCCATCGAGAACCACTCAGTGATGATTGTGTTTGAAAAGGACCTTAGAGGTCAGGTTTTTAAAAAGTCATCACTCACCCTTGATCTAGGGAGCAATCTTGAGCAAGTCACTATAGCTTTGTCTGTTTTACCCTAGAATAAATTTAATAATGTGTACCTTGTAGGAGAAAGCCTTTGTCTGTTATGAGACCTGTGGTAATGAGGATTGTGGAAACAATAATTAAGAAGTTAACATGGCCTATTTAGCCATTATTTGCCCTGTCTGAAAACAAGGAAAAGTGGCTGGGATAAATAATCTAACAAGAAACATCTGCCTTTTATGTTTCATTGTGACGTCAACGTGTCTTTATTGGTTTCCCAAGGACAACGTTAAAGTTTTATGCAGGGACCTGAAAAGGGCATGTTATTGTATACAATTTGTGTGTGAGCAGCGGCTGGGGGAGAGATCTACCACCAATTAAAAATGTGTGTGTTTTTTTTCTCCCAGAGATTATTATATAGTGACATGATATAATCTATGCAGCACTTTGCACTGGAACTACTGGGAAGGGCCCATGTACAACAGAGAAGGCAGGTTGAAACAACAGGAAAAGGTGCCCAAACTTTATTCTCTCTTTTCATATAACTTCAATCATTGTTGATGTTTTTGTTCAGCAAGTTCCAGATGTTATGGGTTAGGTTTTCTATTTGCTTGCACCATTGTGTTGCAAGAGCCAAGAGAAGAGAGAACTCTAAGGAGGGGATGTGTTTTGATTCATAAGCTCGAGGGTCATATAACATGCATATGATCATGGGGAGATCTGTAGCCTTGCATGCCATTATTAGAAGAAAATGTACACACAAAAAAAGAAAAAAAGAAAAAGCTTTCCAAAACAACTCCAAGCAACAGGCAAAAGTAATGTGCTGTAAGGTGGGGGGCACTGTCAGCTTCCTCATGTGGCCTTCTGTGTAGTTTTGGGTAATGTAAACCACGATAGCCCTTTTCTGGTAGGTTTAGCATAACCATAAAAGTAGAGAAAACATTTGTTTTCTCCTCACACCAATGAAGTATCCCCACATCAGAAATCCACACTTAAGTTCTCTATGCTATTGGAACTACACAGAGCAAAACAGTTTGTAAATATTGCTCTTTCCAAAAGAAGTATCACTGCACTGAAATGTTTTAGCTGGCCTCCACATTAGCAGTGGGATATATGGATCAGACCTGAGTATATAAGACATTGGGACAGAGTCGGTGTTTTGTGTGTGTGTGTGTGTGTGTGTGTGTGTGTGTGTGTGTGTGTGTGCACGTGTGCGTGTACAGAAAACATAACTTTCGAGGGTTGTTAATTGAAAACATGAGGAACACGTGATTTCCATAGAACTGGAAATGAGACATAAAGAACTACATGTATTTTTAGTAAACCATTGAAGTACATTGAATGAATGTACAGTTTTATTTAGTTTTCACCTTTTTCTTTGACCCTTCAGTTTAGAAACTTGACTCCTGAGATGGAGGGTGAGGGGGGTGACCCATCACAATTGGATTTGAGTGTTGACATAAATTCATGTTCATAATAACTGCTATTCAACTGTATACACTAGAATAGCAATTTGCACAGAAAAGACTAAGATGAAGTAATACATTTTAACAACTACTCCCTGACTGAGACCTGAGAGTAAAGACTAAACATTATGAGGGGATCTTTAGACTCAGTTGGTTCCATATTGCCAAAAAAGCTTAACATTTGAGTGGAGGCAAGCAGTCCCTTTATATCCTTTTAAACATTATCCATGGATGGGATTCTTAAAAGGAAAAATGGCCATTTGGTACTTCTGGTTTAAATGCTTCTGGATTTGGTTAGTCTGTGCTCATATGTGGAGTTCCTATTTCTATATTCTGCTGGATTAGGGTGTTATGACACAGAAATAACTTCACAGAGGCAAGCCCTAATTATAGAATCAAGGGGAATGCTGGCACGTTCTCTAAGGAGGTGTTTATTAAAACATACTCTGTTATACTGTTTAAAATAATATTACTGTAGGGATTGGGGTTTTTTCTCTTAAAATGTAATTCTGTGATTTTGAAAGGCACTTTTCTCTGGGGGTTATCCTTTTTATCCAAGAATAACCAAAGGGGCTACAGTTATTTATTGCATTAGCCACATTTTGCTTTGTTTTGTTTTTAAATGACATTCCATTCCTGGTGCCTATCCAAAATCTATGACAAAGCAATAGTGACTATCCAGTAAGTGGAAATACTGCCAAGAAGCTTAATTTATTTCTGAGGAGGGAACCTTTCACCCTTTGTGTAATTATACTATTGATCTCTGGTGGCACTACGAAATTTCATTTTTAAAAAGTTTATGATGATTACTGTTATGTGGCAACTCATGATATTCAGGAACATATTGTTATCACATCTAGGGATTTTTGCACAGTCCTCTTGCCTACCTCTGATTCATGTCCTCAGTTGCAGGGAAATTGAGTTTGTCAGAATGCCTGCATTTAATTCTTGGTCAAACCATGTAACACACCATTCTCAGTAGGATGAATGGATAAGGAGAGTATATTTTATAGGAGCTCAGTTACGACTTCAACTTACAGTTGTCCATGTCTCCAGGAGTGCACTAAGGGTGTGCATTCCAGATTTCCCAAGCCAAATATGCATACACAAAAATTGCTGTTCCGGGAGACCCGACCATGCCGAGCCAATGGAGAAACAGCAATAGCCACCACAGAGGGGGTGCCGGTAGGTTGTCCCTAGCTAGGAACACAGGTGATTAGCACCAGAAACCCTGTAAGCCGCTCTGAGACCCTAGCCATGGGACAAGAGCGGGATATCAAGTCTAATGTAAATTAAATTAAATTAAATTAAATTAATTACCATGATTTTCCAGAATGGTTACACAAATCCAGGGTTCTTATTATGAAACACAGAGACAAAAAAATTGGTGTCATTGTTTGTGTTTGGGTGCTTACAATTAGAACCTGCAGGTGTCTTGTTTTTCTTTATTCTCTGGATTTCCCAGATCCAAGGAAGGCAGCCCCCGGCCGGTGCAAGCCAGGTGCAGGATCTGGCAGAGCTATGGTTGCCAGCCTCCAGGTGGGCCTGGGGATCTCCCACTTTTACAACTGATCTCCAGCTGACAGAGATCAGCTCGCCTGGAGAAAATGGCTACTTTAAAGGCCCCTCCCCAAACCCCTCTCTCTCCTGACTCCACCCCCAAAGTCTCCAGGTATTTTCCAATCCAAACCTGGCAACCCTAGGCAGAGGTTCCATTCTAAGTGGCTCCTTCTTCCTTCCCTGCTTTGTGGATGTGGACCCCCCTTTTTTGTCTGCAAGTAGAATGCATGGGGCACCTTGTTCAGAAGCCCATATAATTGACCCCCTCCCCGTCCAATCCACTAAAAACCTGGGTGTTCTTGAGTAGGACAAGCAGCACTAACTCCCTTGCAATTTTGGTGTCATTTAGTTGAAAAACAGCCATTCCAGCTTTCCTGAAATGTCCATAGGCAATAATAGAAGAACTGCCATTCTCGGTCTCTCCCTTAGTCCTGCTTTTGTGAAAGGAAACAAACAACAGACTACAACAAAGAAGACCGGCGAATGCAGAGTTTTCAGAAGAAAGGAAATTTTTAAAATTGTCAGTCATTGTAAAAGTAGGAAAATGAAATGAATGCAGACAAGGTTGGATTTTTTTGGGGGGGTGGGGTGTTTAAATGCTGGTAGCCAGTGCCATTTCCCCTGCAATAGGAATCAGTGGAGAGAAGTGAGCCTGCAGCAAGAGGTGCCTACTTTGGGGGGTCTGTAAAACTGAACCCCATTGTTTAAACTGCTTGAAACGTGGGGGATCTTTAGATTAGATAGAAAATTATATTCTAGGTAACTTTGGTGCCATTGTGTTTAAAAACAGCTGCCCCATACCCTAAAATTGGTTCCCCATTGGAAAAAATGATCCCGAAGCGCCAGAACTAAAAAAAACCACATGGATTTGAAACCCAAACCAGTAATGGCCTGCCTGTTTTTCATTTGCACAGAATTATTAATGTAGAAGAATTGTGAACAATATAATTCCTCACCTGTAGTCTGAAATGGTTTAGCCCATTCTGCCATCTTACCTTACTGACACCTCATTACCATCTCATTTTGCTACAAGCGTAGGCCGGGCTTAAGTCTGATATGCTATCTACTACAATACAGTCTAAATTGAGAGTCCTACACTGGAGTAGAACCATCTCCATAGCTAAGCTTTACCCATACACTGTTGCTTGCTATACTTCAGGGCAGTTTGGGGAAAGAACATTCAACTTTAGATTGGAGCCAGCACCAGTTCTCCTATTTACATTAAGCTCTAGTTATAGTCACTGGACAGAGATCCAAGTTGCTGTTCTTTTCTTTTTTTCATTCTCCACTCTGCAAATAGCCCACAGCTTGAAATCTAGCTGTCTCAGATCAACACTGGCTCTGGCTGTTGCCCATTTATGATATAACTTGATTTGTGTTAGTCCAGGTCGCAAGTCTATATTTAGTGTTCGGGCAGCCAAGCTGTGAGCTAACCTTTCTTTCGTCCTGATCCAATTTCCATGTTATTGACTGAATCTTAGCTGGGAACATGTCTGTTAGAATGCATTTTGGATGTGCCAGCAGACCCCTTCTTCTCTCATTAATATCCCAGCAGAAGCTATTCTATTCAGCATGACAAACAAATCAAATTCAACAGTCTGTTAATATATGGCTGTCTGGCCTTGCTCCTGCTTTCAGTGGGAACTTTCTGGTTCACACATCTTGGCCTTCCTCAGCTGAGGCCTAGCTCCCCGCTCCCCACCCCCAAATTTTATCATTCTGCTGGGAAACAGAAAGATACTCACTTAACCCAAATGGCTGGCTGGTGACTCATACGCTTGTTTGAAATCTATTGAGCATATGAATCTCTCTTATCTCCCCCTGTGTGTTTTCAATCTGTTCTAATGAAAACACTTAACTATTGCCTGTTTGCTGACCTCCCTCTGCCTCTGCATAGATTTCTGAGTAGGCCAGTTTCAGAAGACCCCATGTGCTGGTGTAAGTGCTAAATCAAAGGAAGAGTAAGCAGTCAGATTTACAACGGAGTATTTGGTCTTCCCTAAACAAACATTTTCTGTTCCAAACTGAGAATGTACTGAGACATCCTCCTCCTCTCGACTACCCACCCATTTATCAATGTGTGGCTGTGTTCCAGAGTCTTTCAACCCCTTTGAAAGTTGTAAGTGAAATAACAAATCTATTTGCTTTATGAGACTATGGGCAAATATGAAATTCTGTTTATGCCTTGATGTAGGGCTGCCAGGCATAGCTCAGCAACCAGTAGGAAACTAGAGATAGGGACATGGGGTGGTGCTGTCAGTAACAGTGCGACATCTCCACTGGGAAACACCTGGAAGTTACATCATACCTTTCAGGGAATTGCAGGAAACTCTATGGTAAAACTAAAGTTGTCCAGAGACAACTGATGCCACTTCCAGGTTTTTTGTCTGGAAGTGATGCTATGCTATTCTCCCATGGCATTTTTGAAGGCTATTTTTCTTCTGCCAGTCTCTGCATCAGCAATGGGAAACGGGAGTTTGGGCAGGGGATCCCCCTCCCTCAAAGGGTCTTGGCAGCCCTAGCTTGACATGTCTCTTCAACCAACTTGTAAGAAAGCTTTGAAACATGATTTCAGTTGTTCAGACATTTTTCCAATATGGTGTATTAGTAAGCTAATTGGGGTTGTCAACCTCAAGGTGGGGCCTGGAGATCTCCCAGAATCACAACTTATCTCCAGGTTCCAGAAATCAGTTCTCCTGGAGAAAATGGCTGCTCTGGAGGGTGGACTCTGGCATACTACTACTGAGGTTCCTCTGCAAACCCTGCCCTCCCCAAGTTCCACCTCCAAATCTCCAAGAATTTCCCAGCCCAGACTTGACAACCCTCAAATTAATCCATGCAATTGACAATTATCAGGACAGTTCCTAGGAAGTGAGATAGTCTGAATAGAAAACCGAAAATATGTCATTCATTTGCCACACAGCATGAATGCATGATAAAAGTTCAGTAATAGGTATTTAATGGCAGATGTCAGGAGCCCTCACATCTTGAACTGAAGTAGGGACATAAGAACATAAGAACATAAGAGATGCCAATGTTGGATCAGGCCAAAGGCCCATCCAGTCCAACACTCTGTATCACACAGTGGCCAGAAATACCAGTGCCATCAGGAGGTCCACCAGTGGGGCCAGAACATTAGAAGCCCTCCCACTGTTGACCCCCCCCCCAAGCATCAAGATGACAGAGCATCACTTGCCCCAGAGTCCCTATCTATACCTTGTGGCTAATAGCCACTGATGGACCTCTGCTCCATATGCTTATCTAATTCCCTTTTGAAGCCGTCCATGCTTGTAGCCGCCACCACTTCCTGTGGCAGTGAATTCCAAGTGTTAATCACTCTTTGGGTGAAGAAGTACTTCCTTTTATCTGTTCTAACCCGACCGCTCAGCAATTTCATGGAGTGCCCACGAGTTCTTGTATTGTGAGAAAGGGAGAAAAGTACCTCTTTCTCTACCTGCTCTTTCCCATGCATAATCTTATAAACCTCAATCATGTCACCCCTCAGTCGTCGTTTCTCCAAGCTAAAGAGCCCTAAGCGCCTTAACC